TGTTCTCATTTTGAGTTAACTCCACTGTCTGGTAACTTCTTTTCATGGCTACTGCTTCTGCAAAAAAAAAAAAAAAAAGGCAAATTAGTTTTGCTTTATTTCTGTCCTCTTTTAGTATCACATCACCTGCACAGAGTAGTACTGGACCTGTGTTTTTGTCCTTTTCCACATGTTTAACAGGTGCAACATAATGTCTTCTCAAACATTATCAGACTGAAGGGGCAAAATCAAATCACAGATTTGCATTTACCCTGCTTCTTCTTTGCACATTCTGTAAAAATCTGAGGCTACAAAGTTCTTTTCTGTCCTCTTTCATACAAATGTCTACTGAGCAGTACCATCTGTCCTAGGGGCTGAAATGCAGTGATGAATAAAATCAGCCCATCTTCTTCAAGAACATATCTGCAGTGTCCTAAGGGGAGGCACGAACACAAGTGTAGGGCAGGGTGCTGAGGCATGTGAGGAAAGGGCCTGGGTTATCTTCTTCTCAGAACCCTAGCACCTGTCAGGTACCTAACAATCTTTGAGTGGATAAAAGTTGAGTTAAATGCAAAAGATTCTATGTGAGCCTAAAAAATAATTGCTTAAGGATACTGGAGAAGGCAGCACAGAAGTTGATTTCTCCTAAAAATAATTTGTTTAATCATTCAGTCAATGTTGCTTGATACCTGCCATGCTTCAGACATTGTACTAACCACTGGAGTTTCAGCAGGGGCCCAAACAAAAATGGCTAGGGCTTCATAGTACTTTCATTCAAGTGGGGAAAGACATACAATATACATAAAACAGATAAATACATGTATTTATCGTAATTCTAATTAATGTTGCCACCAACCTTGGCTTACAAAGTCAGTTTAAAAAAAAAAAAAAAAAAAACTTGGCTGGCCATGTCGACTCACGCCTATAATCCTAGCACTTTGGGAAGCCAAGGCGGGCAGATCACCTGAGGTCAAGAGTTCAAGACCAGCCTGGCCAACATGGTGAAACCTCATCTCTACTGAAAATACAAAAATTAACCGGGCATGGTGGCATGCACCTGTAATCCAAGCTACTCGGGAGACTGAGGCACAAGAATTGCTTGAACCTGGGAGGCGGAGGTTGCAGTGAAACAAGATCGTGCCGCTGCACTCCAGCCTGGGTGACAGAGCAAAACTCCATCTCAAGAAAAAAAAAAAAATAGTTGAGTACTATGAAGTAAATAAACAAGATAATGGAACAGACTAGCTGGAAAGGGGGGTTTACTTCAGATCAAGGGTTTGGGAAACCTTCTCCGAGGAGTTGATCTCCGAGCTGAAGTCAGTGTTAAGAGTTAAGGAATGAGCACTCCAGACTGAGGAAACAGAATCTTTAAAAGCCTAGATGGGAAAGGGCTTGGGTTTTGTTTTTGTTTTTGTTTTATTATTATTATTATTATTATACTTTAAGTTCTAGAGTACGTGTGCACAACGTGCAGGTTTGTTACGTATGTATACATGTGCCATGTTGGTGTGCTGCACCCATTAACTCATCATTTACAGTAGATAGCATCTCCTAATGCTATCCCTCCCCCTCCTCCCTCTCCCCTCCCTCTCCCCACGACAGGCC